TTAACCCTAAGTGATCGCGGACGCCCCTCCGCGTTCGCAATGAACAAAAACCAGCCAAGCCCCCAGGTCCATTTAACTCTATGCGAACACGACCACCTTCCCACATTCGCGATGAATAACCTTCCCACTCTATGCGATTGCAAGCCTCACTTCACGAACGCGAAGAACAACTGGACAGCCTCCTTAAAACCTTCTACGCGATCGCGAGACTCCCTATGCGATTGCGAAGGGCAAAATCCTGCAACAGCTAAACCTACAATTTTCTGCAATTTCTCAACTTCAAAATGATCCGAATGACCACCCGAAACTCACCCGAGGCCCCCGGAACCTCAATCAAAGGCACCAACATATCCTAAAACCTTATTCGAACTTGTTCCAATCACCAAAACACCTCAAACAACATCAAATCACCCAAAACACATCGGATTCAAGCAAACTTTCTAAAATATTTTGAATTACGCTTTTGATCAAAAACCCAACCAAACCACGCCCGAATTACCTGAAATTTTGCACACACATCCCAAATGACACAACAGAACTATTGCAACTTTCGGAATTCCATTCCGACCCCTATATCAAAATCTCACCTACCAACCAAAAATCGCCAAAATATCAACTTCGCCAATTCAAGCCTAAATCTACTCCAACCCTCCAAAAGCCATTCCGATCATGCTCCTAAGTCATAAATTACCTCCCGAAGCTAACCAAACCATCAGAACTTACATCCGATCTTTCTAACACATAAGTCAATATCCGGTTGACTTTTCCAACTTATACTTCCTTAAAAGAGACTAAGTATCTCAAACTTTACCAAAAATCATTCCAGACTCGATCCGACCAGCCCGATACCACAAAATACGGATAATGAAGCATAAAGAAGCAGAAATGGGAGAAACGGGGCGGTAACTCATGAGACGACTGGCGAGTCATCACATCGTGGCTTGTTCCAGAAATAAATCTATAAATAAATAAAAACAGTTATAATGTTAAAAATGCACAATAGGTTTAAAACATGTGATAAATCAGATAATCAGGCCAATTATTAATAGTTGAGCGACCGTGTTAAAACTACAGAATCCGGGAATGCCAAACACCTTCTCCCAGGTTAACAGAATTTCTTACCCGGATTTCTATGTTCGTAGACCATAAATAAGAGTCAACTTCCTCGATTCGGGATTTTAAACCGGTGACTTGGGACACCATAAATTATCCCAAGTGGTGACTCTAAATAAATATAGATAATCCCGTTTCGGTTAGTATCACTTAAATTGGAAAAACTCCCTTATATCCCCTCTCGGGTAAAAAAGGAGGTGTGACAGGGACTACCTATGAGGCCTAAGGGCTAACCTTATTGCGAGTTTGAGCAAGTACTCACTCGACTACTAAGCCCTAGGGCTACCTGAGTTCGAAAAAATTCTCACTCGAGGGCTATCTGCGAAGCCTAAAAAATCTAGCTTTATTTCAAATTCGAGACCTTGCTCTCACACAAACGAAGGCATAATAGAATTCAACACGAATCGAAGATAAAATAGAGAAAATTTTATATTAACAAAAGATGTTTACAAAGCCCACGAGGGGACCTTACACAGAAACAAAGAAGCAAAAACAAAAGCTAAGAACCTAATCTACTTTTGAGGGCATATCCTAGAGAGCGACATCTTCGAGAACATCCTCCTCGGGAACTCCATCTCGATCTTTAGAGAAAATTGTATCCTGGTGAAAAACTTGGCGAGTATGGGTCTTGTTAGCACAAATATTATGAAGCCACTTCTTGAGACATTGTACCGATGTGGGATGCAAAAATTATTAGATGATAGTGCCACCTCATTCCATGGAAAGCGAAAGGAATGAAGCGTCACACTAGGTTGAAGTTAAGAGAGATAAGCAGCAGTGTAAAGTTCACATATCTTCTAATACGGGAAGAATTCGGTGCCCTTCACTCGTTGTTTCGAGCAAACAATAACAACAACAACTCAGTATAATCCCACTTAGTGGGGAAAAGCTTTGAAAAAGGGAGTCATGGCATAACTGATAAAGTTGCTTCCATATGACCTTGCGGTCACAGGTTTGAACCATAAAAATAGGTGATTAGAGGAGGATATAGAGAAGGGAAAAGGCTAAAATTTGTTGAAGAAAGAATGAGTGTAATTTTTGTTCAGCCAAGTAAACCCTTATTTATAGAGAGACGATGACAAAACCGACGGCGCATTCAATGCTTTTGGGGAAACGAACCGGTGGTACATTCAATACTTCTGGGGAAATGAACCGACGAGACATTTCGATCACTTCAAACGCCTACGTCACAAGAATGACGTCATCGCGAGATGCTCGGGAAAATCGAGGTTCCAATCGTTTCATATCATTTCATTCTAAGAAACGCAGGGACTATCTGCATACGGTCAAAATCAAGGAGTATGATTTTGAAGTCTTAAATCGGGCTATAGGCCCGAATTCGGGAGACTCGGAGTGGGTGTCGTATCCAGCTAAGGGATACCTACCTCGAGGAAACTGATCGAATGCCTGGTACGGAATGCATCGAGGGCAGCATTATCTCAAAGTCAATCAAGAAAGAGCGGGAACTTCTCAAGGACACGTAGACCTGGGCATTAATTATAGAATAAGGGTTGTACGAAATAGTACAAGTCCGTACTAGGTCGTTATATACCTATACCAATAGAATTCTTTACCTTTATGAGCAAGGTACTATATTGGGGTTTTCTCCTCCTATATAAAGGGGACCCCAATCATTTTGTAAAGGGATCAGATCATTCACTGCAATAGAACATTCTTATTCTTCTCTTGTTTAACGTGTTCAACAATTATTCTTCAGCTTTATTGTCTTTACTTTATTGTTCATACTTTGTTGGTCTCAGCTGACCTCGAGGTCCCTGGATAGACAAGCTCGAGGTCCCTACTGTTCCGATAACATTGATTTGGTTCATTATTTCGTCTTACTTAAACTCAATATTACTCATATAATCACTAGTATTAAAATATATCACGTATCTTTAAAACCACAAATTATCTTTAATTGTTACTCATATTTTTCGAGGTAAACAATATTACTTGACCAAAGACTCATGGATATACTCCCTCTCTCTACTTCATAATTTTAGTTTCTACATTTTAATTAAAATAAAATTGAAAAGCTTAATTAAGATCTTTTTTTCCCATAACAAATATTTCAAATTATTTATTATTTAGATAATGCTAACGATAAAATAAATTTTATCTATTTTTTCGTAATTTTACACTCAAAATCACTCCAATAAAGACTAACCTAAAGCATACTTTTATAACTAAATCGCTTCTCAAATGATTCGGTCAAACACAAACTATTATTATCCTAAGTTTTTCCTTTTTCAGAAACTCAATTTAGAAAAAATAATTTTTCAATAAGTAGATTTTGAAAGTTTAGCCAAATAAGCGGTTAATATGAAATCCTAGCAAAAGTACAGTAAAAACTTATTTACACCCGATATTTATACTAATTTTATAAATATATGACACATGTTTTCACAATGATAAGAGTATATGTCAAGACAGTGAGGTCAAAAAATTCATTTTTGCACGGATATAAGCTGAAGAATTTCAAAGAGGTCATCATCTTTAAGTCATTTCAACTTTATATCCTTGGACTAGTCTTCCGTCATAAGAACGGTATGCATAAATCACACCAACACTTCAAATTTTTATCAGAACTTAACCTACTGCCTTTCACCAAAGACAATAACTTGTCTCCCGTAACCTTAGTGTTCTTGCTGCCCATAATTTTTTGGCAAAAATCTTCACCTTTCTTCATGACCTTGTTCAATTTTTTATCGTTGGGATACGAGTGGCAATTCAACCCCATCAACAATGCAAACTCATTAATGTCGAGATACATTGGGTTTTCATCCACACGGAACTATATCTCATGCTTCTTCAGCGCTCTAATTTGACGAAGAAGAAGATAATGGACCATTTGTCCATTGAATTTATTCTGGTGATTGAGAACTTAATAAATTGGCCAAAATATTAGTGTTTGAATTTTTTTCCCGGTAGTTTTTGCTGTTGCAACATTTGTTTCAGTTCAAAAATCACCTTTAACCTTGATTTTACTGATATTTTTTCTGGAAAAATCGATATTTCATTAATTACGCCAAGTCATGAACCTTCATTATCGCCTCCCTCCTCTTCTTTACCACTTTCCTCCTCTTCTTGAGGAACTTTATCAATTTTATCTAATTCATCAACTTCATCTTCATCCTCGTTATAAGGATCAATATGATTCACAGTATCATCTGTTTTAGAATTTTCTTCACCTAGACTTTGGGGTTCAACTGTTGTTGCTATTTTTTCATCAGAGCTAATTTTTATCTCTTGCCAGCTTTACTAGATGGGTTCCTATCTGATATACATTTCATAAAATGAGGTTTTATCTTTACTTGGGCAGGATTTCTTGATGCATTTCCTAGTTCTGGTATTTACCATCTTGTTTAAATAATCCAAATTGTAAAATAAACTTGGATACTTGTTTAGATTCGTAATTTGACACTTAAAAAATACTTTTTGAAAAAACTGATCAAACACAATCTGCTTATCAAATACTATAAGAAGCACTTCTCAATCAAATAGGGCAAACACAAATTACTTCTTTCAAAAAGTACTTGTCCATAAGCCGCTTTTGACAGCTCAGCCAAACAAGGTCTTAATCAAGATTATGTATATTTGAAACCAGATGGGAGATCTTCTTTCACTCCACTTAACTTTGATTCTTTAAAATTTTAGAAAAGAATGTGTTATTGCTTTTTTTTTTTTTTTTTCTCTATCTGCTTGCACCATCTATGGTCGTCTTGAATGCAAGATGTAACACATACGGGATCAACAAAACTAATAATCAAAGTCATGGCACTTGCATGATTTCTAGAGGATGAGATTCCTATTAATTATGATTAAATAATAAAAATTATGTTAAAGAACATGGTATGCGCTTAATAGATTAATACATGCACAGAGCGTAGGTAAGTAGTAAATAGTTAAATAAGTTCATGTAGAGTATCTTAGGCAAAAACCTGTATACTGCATACTACACAGACAGTGCATAACGGGCAAAAATGAGCCTTCTCTTGCACCATTTATGCAAGACGTATATCTACGAGACCCACAAAAATCAATAATCAAAGTCACGCACTTCCATGGCTTCTAGGGCTTCAATTCGTACACAATCTTCTACTTCAACTTCTTCAACATTGGGTGATGCTCGGCTGAATTGTTTAATCTCATCCATAATTTGGGCACCTGGCCGAGGAAGGAGATATGCAAAATTCCAAATGAAGATTTCCTCAAGTATAGGTGCAGATGCCAATATAAACTTCACAAATTCCATTTCCATCTCAACACCAATAAACATATTCATATGTACTCTTTGCAACTTCAGAGCACCATACGAGCTTGATTGGGCTTGTAAGAATTGTACAACAGGTTCCACAATATTGTCCACTGATTCCTAAAGGATTTTCGGGAAAAATTGTTAGGCGAGTTCAGACGAAAAAACCATATTCAGTCACCTTAATGAGAATGTAGGAGAGTGCTTACACATTCAATTGTAAGCTGTTCTAATTTACGGCAGCTTTTAATCAAGTAAACAGCGCATGTAACCTCCTCAACATTTCTGAAAGAGATGCTCGAAATACTGAGAGATTTGACATTGTTCAGAGCAGTTGGGGGACTCTTTGGCAGACCTCCCAGGATCAAGTACTAGATGGAAGTCAAAAATTAGTTAAATATACGAACCAGATACATCATTTGGTTATGATATGTAAAAAGCTCCATTAGACTATAATTAATACAATCACAAAATGAACATTACCTCTAATACAGAACCACGTAGATCCAGTTCCTGCAGGGAAGGCATGTAATTGAAGAACTTTGTAAAATTGGAACAACCAGGAGGTGGATCAGGCAAAACTCGTGAATTGATAGACACAGTAACTTTTTCAAGCATCGGGGCATTCTTGAAGCAAATGAACTTTGAATTTCCATCAAAGTGAAGTATTTGAGATTAGCGGCATCAATATCAAGGATGTCAAATTCTGTGCACCAAGCCAACCTCAATCGTTCAAGCAATGGGCATTTGGAGATGAGATTCCTAATTATTACTGGAACAAAAGTGACATGCTGAAGATCAAGACTAATAAGCTTCTTAAACCCTTTGAAACCGGGTGGAGGGTAAAACAAGCAATGACGAACTTCCAGATGCCTTAGTTGCTGGAACGTAAAAAGGTGAGAAGATAAATGATATCTGTTGTCCCCGCATCTGTGAAGAGTAAATTCCTGGACATTTTTCTATGACAAGAAAAGTATCCAGTGATCAATATGAGGATAATTTTTCAAGTTAGGGCGTCCGAGTTTAAACTTCAGTATTGGTCCTTTATGGAGTAGTAGGACTTGGTAAATGATTGCCTTGGCTTCTTGATTTTCTTTGAAAGACTTGAAAAACTCATCACTAAAATCAAGTTCCTGACGTGTCACCCATTTGTACCTCCAGTCTTTTGACAAGATACTGGTCTTCACTGCGTCTTTCAAAGACAAGGCCCCTAGAATTTCATCCACAACATTACATGGCAAAATGCTGATTGTATCTACACCAGATCTCCTACCACTCCTCATGGTCTAGTACTGACGAGTTTGCAGCCACTTCTGAAAATTAAAATCAGGTTAGTCAATCAATAATGAGCAAATGCACTTGTCGACTTTCAAAGTATTCATCAATATTCTCACCAGAATTTCCATATAAAGCCGATATCCAAACATTTCAGCAATGTTTTCAACTGCATATAATTTTCCATTTTTCCTATATCAGAGTGACAAAAAAATGGTACACGAGAGAGTATCAGGAAAGATCACAAAATTGGAAGATTGGAGGACCACAAACTTCACATGGAAAGAACACAGTTAGTATCTAGCTAGCGACTCCTACTAAGGTTTCATTACTCTTCCCGATATTAATTCAGCCCATCTAACCTTTTGAAATTTTATATAAGGATTTTTTTCCTCGCATTAGCCAGCGTTCCTCAGTTTTTGTGCTTGAGGGAAAAGCTGTTACTTTATTTTTTCTTTCCAATTAAATTCACAGTTCACCATACATTTCCCAAACAGTGATGAGCCTTTGCCATTAACACAACTGCCAAGATAAAAGTACATTATACTCTATGTAATCACCTAGTTTTAATAGATAAAAGATCAGACTCAGGAGAGCAAGCACAATGAGTTGAAACATATTAGAAACTAAAGTTGATCAGAGCATGCCAAAGAGAGAGCATCCACGGGAAAGATGTTATGCAAGATTAAGTTCACAATCTAGTATTCTCGACTTTTTTTTTTTTTGATTTTCCATTCGATGTCCGGTACCTGCATTGGAGCCCGACTATATCCGGATTAGCGCCGGGTAAGGCCCCACTCCGGGGGGGAGGGATCGCTCCCTACCAAGGATTTTTCCATACCCAGGGCTCGAACTCGAGACCTCTGGTTAAGGGAGGAGCAGCCCCATCACTGCACCACATCCCTTGATGGTTAATATTCTCGACTTATTTTAACTTCCACTCTATCTAATCACATAGTTTTAACAGATGAAAGATCAGACTCAGGAGAGCAAGCATGATGAGTTGAAACATAACAGAAATAAAAGTCGATCAGAGCATGCCAAAGAGAGAGCCTCCATCGGAAAGATGTTATGCAAGATTGAAGTTCATAATGTAATATTTCTTCTTAGTTTAAGTCCTTGATGATTGCGCGCTTGCCCATTTATGGAATAAGTCAATCTACTGGAGATGATATATAAGTTATACGTGAGGAACATCTGAATAACATCTATTCTTCTTTCTAGACAGGTCAAACAAAACACACAAGGGAAAATTAAAAGAAAAACCTCATAAGCTTTTTTTTTATAACACGGCGGTACCCAAGCAAGCTTGGGCACAATCCACGGATACCTGCTACCTTCTCCCACCAGCACAGATAGAGGATAACTCTGTCGACCAACCCTTGTGGTCGGATGCGAAGAAATTACCTACTAGTATTTTTGCATCCGCTAGGGATTTGAACCTGAGATCTAATTATTGGTAAGCAGAGTTAAATGTGCTCCACAAAAACTGGGGAGTTCCTTGTTGTGATATTGCTACACAATCCCCCCAAAGAGAACATAACGCCAAGGGTTCATGACAAACTGATTTGATTCAAAGAAAAAACAAAGAATAGAAACTTAACATGACAGAACTGCACTGAATGATAAAATAAGGAAAATCATAATAACTGAGTTCATAGGCTTAATTACCTGTAGCAGAGTCCACTGAGAGAGATCGAAAACATTGGTATGAGTAGAGAGATTCCCTTGTTTTGAATTTCTTTTCTAAGTTTCAAATTCAGAAAATAAATAGGCGCTGGCGGACATTGATCGAAAGAAACTGTTGACGGTTTAACTACTCGCTTAACGCTTACAGGACAATGCAGGACACAGGTTTGAAATTTACTAGTATTAGAACCAATACTAAAAAATATTAATTATTTTAAATTATAATTTTTCTTTTTAGTATCATGCTGCCTTAATAAAATTTCAATTGGCATCTTACTTCTCAATACAATATTTCATTAACTAAATTATACGAAATTAAAGAAAAATAAATTATATAGTCATCGACATCGTATAACATTTTTGTTTCTTATTTTTCTTTATTATAATTTTTATTACTTAATATTATTACATTATTAATATGATAATTTATTGACGTGTCACTTGGCGTAATATCATATTTCCACTATTACTTCTCAAAATATTATTTTTAAATTTTATTTTATGGTTCACAATTCTTCAATTTTCTAAATTTATCATTTATATCTTTGTATATTATTTACTTAATTTATTTTATTTTCTAAATTAATTCAAAGTTGAAATATCCTCATATTATCGTTATTTTAATATTGTCACGATCCTAGTTCTCCCTCTGTGAACCTGTCGTGACGGCACCTAGTCTCTACGACTAGGTAAGCCTAACATTTGCGGAATAAAGAACAAAACATAAAAACTATAAACTAAAAGTAAATTTTAAACAAGGAAATGCGATGCCGCTCGGCATATACAATAATCACTTTCGAATAGTATTTATAACTCTCCCAAAACCCGAAATGTCATAAGTCACAAGCTAAAGAAGAGACACAGTACTCCCATACTCCAGAGTCTAATACAAGAAGAAAATACAAGAAGTCTTTAACTTGAGGAAGAATAGAGAGGGACTCCTAGGTCTGCGGACGCGACATATATACCTCGAATTCTGTACAGTCGTCTCGCCTCACTGGTAATATGGTTGAAAGGAGGTACTTGGATCTGCACACGAAAAACATGTCCAGGAAAGGGCATGAGTACACTACAGCGGTACCAGTGTTACATCTCCCGTGTCCGTACGTTAAAAGTTTCGTCTTCAATTAATTGACGTAGACTCGGGGATGAGATTATCTTGACGCTAACGGATTTACGCTATTTATAACAAGCGATAAAGAAGTGTCGTGAAGGATAAATGGGTACACGAATTAAAGAAAACGAGTTTCGTTGAAAGTAGCCAGTTTGAGATAAAATACGGGTAGAGTGATAATATCCGATGATTATGAACTAGTACCATGCAAGGTACCATATGACCACGGTAGTATAATATATAAAGTATATTAAAAGTAAGTAGAATTTTAAGTAATTTATGATATTTTTTTAAAATTATGTGGGTAACTGATTAATTATCGAATAATAGGATATTATCCAATTAATTAATAAATGAATAAAAAAATTATTATAAAATTATCCCCCAACGTGGCATAAAGCCACAATGGCTAAATATGACTCCCGGTCGTTATTGCCATGTGGCTAGTTATGGAAGTGTCACAAAAACAAGACTTAAACATAAGTCTTATCAAAATAAGACTTGCACATAAGCATCCATGAGTCATTATTATCAATTCATTGTTAAGATCAAATCCGTTCTGTCTTTGGTTCAACAAAACATTAGAAGCAGAAGCCATTTCGTTCCAAAATTTCTAGGAATCAAGCAAAAATTTCGTTCATAAAATTTCAAACAAGCAGGAAAAAATCTCGTTCAACAATATCAAAAAGTAAAAGCTTAATCTGATTTTTGGGGTTCTAAGTTCAATCCATGAAAGTTTTCAATAGAATACTATACAGAGTTTTCCCTAGGAATATTAAGGTCATCCCTTTTTTCTTTTGGCATGGTCCAAATTATATTGAAGAAACGAGCAAACACACAACTTTCATAAATTACTCTATTCATAGAGATACTAGGGGTGTCTATATTCTTGATTCCCCATGAGAATTATTATTATCTTCTGTTCATGGGTCTCAGAATAATACGCAGTTGAAAAAAAGTTTATCCGGAAGGAATATTGAGATTTTTTCGTATTTTTCATGCATTTTACCCATTTATACATGTGAATTGACCCATGACCACACAACGTTATATACACGTATATATGTAAGTATATTTATATGGGATATGGAAAAAGGTTACGACGTTATATACGCACCACCACCTGATCAGCTGGTATATGTTGATAATGTTGCCCCCAGCGGGCGAGACGATATGATGGGATGCCCTCAGTGACTTGATGATATAATGTACACCCATACCTATGCATGACACGACATTTATACGCACGTGCACGACATTATAATTGTTTTAGAATTTACAAAGTTATTCAGATTTAAAGACGTATTTTTATATTCCATATTTCATCTATGCCTTTTACGTACTAATTTTCACGCCTTACAAACTCAGTACATTTTTCGTATTGACGCCCTATTTCACGGGGCCTGCGTTTCATGCCCGCAGTTGCAGGTAGGCAAGCTGACGGTCCCCCTTCTTAGGATCCCTAATCAGCGAGTGTTGGCGTGCTCCACTTGATCCGGAGCTGCTTTTGATTTTGGTACGATATGTTTGATTTTGATCCAGAGCTGCTTTTGTCTATGTTATATTTTTCGTACGATATATATATGGGTATGACGTGGTTCAGTCCCGTCTTTGTACATTTATGTTTCCATTCGAGGTCTGTAGACAGTATGTCTAGTTGGGTTGTATGTGGCCTTGTCGACTTTCAGTTATTGGATGTATAGTTATCTATAGAAGCCTTGCCGGCTCGCCACTGTATTCTGCATATATACATATATATGCCTTGTTGGCAGGTTTCATTCACGTATGTTATCTTCGTAATTCAGCAGATGTTATTCAGGTTTACATCTTAAACACATGCTTAAAGGTGTATGATAGGTAGGATTTGGACACCCGTCGCGACCCATCGGTTTGGGTCGTGACACCTAGTAAGTACCAAACCTAACCTCGGTCGAGTAGTGACGCGATCAGTCAGGGCCCTACTGGTATATATATAACAAAATAATACATAATAAAATATTGTAGTAATGATAAGTATAGAAATTAAGCGAGAATGAAATCACAGAAAAACAACAACTCAATACACATAGATAACAACAGGGGATCCTGGGATACCGCCCCGTAGTCCCAAACATAAATATGCAAGGGATCTCCCGGGATATTGTCTCGTAGTACCAAACATAAATGTGCAGGGGGATCTCCCGGAATATCATTCCGTAGTCCCAAAGAAAATATACAGTACATGAGGATCTCCTGGGATAGCGTCCCGTAGTCCCTAACTTAAGTATGCAGGTGGATCTCCGGGAATACCGTTCTGTAGTCCCAAAGTAAATATGCAACTCAATCAACATAAACAATAGTTTCAATAAGGAATTCTACAGTTTAGACAAAGTTCATATCAAGGAAGACATGTAATTTTCACTAAGCATGCTGCACAGAGTTCACATAGGCAGCTAAGATAGTTAAGACAGTTAAGGTTAGGCATGATTTCCAAAGATAAATAGGATAATTACATATATTAGTGTTGCTCAATTAAAGGAAAAACATATATTTGCTTAATGAAAATGGGGGTTTTCAACAAATAGCCAGTGTGCGCACTCGTCACCTCACGTACACGACGCTCATATATCAAACAGTACCAAATCCTAAGGGGGTGTTCCCCCACATAAAGTTAAACAAGCCACTTACTTCGATCCAAGCTCAAATCAATCCGAAATTACGCTCTTGCCACGAGTATCTAACTCCGAGTAGACCAAATCCAATAGCTCTTCTTCAAAATCTTTCGAAAAATCGCCTTCCACCGAGCTCCAAATTGAATTTTGTGATATGAATTTCAAACCCTCGAAAATCTCTTTTTCTGCCCAGCGATTTCCACTTCTACGAGGGATCAACCGCATCTGTGATCCTGCACATGCGGAAAAACAATCGCAGGTGCGGACTTAACTTAAGTCCTCAAAAATCGCTTTTGCAGTCAAGGGCCGCTTCTGCGCGCCCGCTTCTGCGCCTTTTCTCCGCTCCTGCGAGTCCGTTTCTGCTAGACTCTAACCGTTTTTGTGGTCTCAGCTGGGCAGGCCAAATTTCGCTTCTGTAGCTCCTTAGTTGCTTCTGCGACTTTGCACCTACGGTCCAAAATGCGCAGGTGCGAATACAACAGGTGCAACAACTTCAGCAATTTGCATAATTCTCAACCCAATCCGTTAAGTATCCAAAACTCACCTGAGGCCCCCGGGACCTCAACCAAATATACCAACCAATCCTAAAACATCATACGATCTTAGTCGAGCCCTCAAATTACATCCAACAACGCTAAAAACCCAAATCAACCTCTGATTCAACCTTAAAGAACTTGAAACTTCTAAATTCGACAACTGGTGCTAAAACCAACCAAACCACGTCCGATTGACCCCAAATTTTGCACACAAGTCATATTCAACACTACGGACCTACTCCAACTTCCAAAATCGGATTCCAACCCTGCTATCAAAAATTCCACTACTGGCCTGAAACTCCAAAAATTCAACTTTCGCCATTTCAAGCCTAAATGAGCTACGGACCTCCAAAACACAATCCAAACACGCCCCTAAGCCAAAATCACCCAATGGAGCTAAGTTTATGCCTAATAATCTAGCCTCCCTCGACTCGAACCAACCCACTGGGGACCGACACCTCCTACCATACAGAGCCTCATATTGTACCATCTGAATGTTGGACTGATAGTTGTTGTTGTAGGCAAACTCCGCAAGTGGAAAGAACTGATCCAAGAACCTCCAAACTCCTTCACACACGTACAAAGCATATCCTCAAGAATCTAAATAGTGCGCTCGGATTTTCTGTCCGTCTGGGGGTGAAATGTTGTGTTTAACTCCACCCGAGTTTCCAACTTATGTTGTACGGCTCTCCAGAGCCGTGATGTAAACTGCGTGCTCCGGTCAGAGATGATAGATACCGGCACGCCATGAAGTCTGACAATCCCACGGATATAAACTTGAGCCAGCTGCTCGGAAGAATAGATAGTCATCACAAGAAGGAAATGAGCTGATTTGGTCAGCCTATCTACAA